TGCTTCCAAACTGTCTCTCCCTCCTCCATCACTCAGTCCTATTCCTCAACTTTGCATTTGATATTTAGGGCTCCTAGATTGTCACATAATAATCAATTCACTTTTTTGGGGGGGGGTCTTTGTTTTAAGAGGGACCACCGGAAGCTTCTGACTACTCTGCCATCTTGGCCCTGCCCCTCCACTATTCTGGATGTTTTCTGGTTTCCCTTTCCTGCAAGCTGGAACACAGATGGGCCCATGACCACAGGTAGATGAAGAGAATCCTTTAGGGGACAATAAAGCAGGAAGATGAGAGGAACCTGGGTCTTTGAAAGACTTGTAGAGCAAAGAGTAATTAACTTCTATTTGCTTTAAGCCACTGTATTTTGGGGTCCCTTTGGTACAGCAAGAGCCCTGGTGGTGCAGTGATTAAAGCACTTGGCTGCTAACCGAAAGGTCAGTGGTTCGAATCCCCCAGCCACTCCACAGAAGAAAGATGTGGCAGTCTGCTTCTGTAAAGAATTACAGCCTTAGAAATCCTATGGGCAGTTCTACTCTGTCCCACAGGGTCCCTACGAGTCAGAATGGTAGTGGGTTTGCTTTTTTTGGTTTTGATACAGCAACTTAGACTAACTAATATCCCAACTCGTACAAGCACTGGAAAGCTGAATGGAAGCTTTGTGTGCATGAGTGGGGCTTGTCCAGTGGTAAGCTTCACCCTAAGGCAGTGGTTCTCCAGGAATGGTCCAGGTAACCCTGGGGTCCTTGAGACCCTTTCAGCGAGTACTTGAAGTCAAAATCATTTTCATGATAATAGTAAATCATGAGCTACCTTGTTCATTCTCATTCTTTCACGAGTGTCCAGTAGAGTTTTTCCAGAGGTGACATAACTCATGATAGCACAACAGATTGACTGCAGAATCAGAGATTCTTAAAAATGTACAGCAATGCCACTCTTCTTACTAAATAGTTTTGTTTGGGAAACCACAGTTATTTTTCATAAAAATATGTTAACACGTAATGGGTTTATTATTGATATTTTTAAATGAATTTATAAATATTTTCTTTTAATTTCCTGTTTTAATTTTGAATATATATATTCAAATATAAAAAAAGCTCTTTGAGATTCTTAATGACTTTTAAGAATATAAAGGGACCCTAAGATCAACAAATTTAAGAATCACTGTACTAGAGTGATCTGCCCAGTTTCTTTCACTGGGGATTTCCAACAGCCAGAATCTGTAAGGTTTTTTCTTGGATTTGTTGGTTCCCTCACAGGGGAATTATCCACTCTCCTGCTTAAAAACTTTCAGTGATTTCCCATTGCACTTAAAATAAAATGAAACCCTTTAGCAAAGCCTACAATGTCTGGCGCCTGCTTATTTCACCTTCATAACCTGCTTTAATGCTCTCATTTGTTCATGTGCTTTAGCCATATTTGTCTTCATTCAGGATCTTTGCACTGTAGGGAAGTGGCTCCACCATGGCACCGTGGCAACATTGCCCAGTGTCCACATAGGCCACATAGGCAAGGCATGAATCTCAGCTGAATCTAAGTCTTGGCTGAATGTCCTGTGATCCTCCTGAAACACAAGGAAGGCTTGTGATAATCTGTTGCAAGGCCCTTTCTCATTCGTTTCCCTATCTATCAGGAAAGCTGTCATGAGACAGTCTCTCATTGGCCCCTGGGTTTGGATGAGGTGTGAGGCTTTCTGCCTCATCCCCCTAAGCTGTAAGCTATAACAGTGCTTAGCCACAGTGTGCCATTAGCTCCTCAGCAACAGGGTATCCTGTCATCTGTGTTGCAGATATCTGGCCCTTTGTTTCAGTAACACCCTGCACAAGGGCCACTAGGAGTTGGCACCTTTGGCTACTCTTTCTTTCACTGTTTATGTTTACTGTCTGAATCTAAAAAGGGCTCATTGTTTCTTTACCAGTCAAATCTATCAGTCTTGCCTTGTACTTGACATGCACGTGCTATTACTTCTGCTTAAATGCTCTTATCCCACCCCACCCAACACTTTCCATGGCTCACTTCTTTAGCTAGTGCCTTAAATGTCATGTCCTCATAGAGGCCTCTTTGATCCGCTCGTCCAAAATAGACCCCTTGTGGGAGACACTGTTGGTTGTAATTCCGATATCTATTCCTCTCTTCCTTCCTTGTTTCTTGCTAACAAGAGCCTCAATTTTGATTTGTTAGGGTATTGGTGGTCGTGTAGTTTAGGAGAAGCCAGGACCCTTCCCAGTTCCAGAAATTAACTCTTGATTTGTTGAGTCCAAACATGCCATTTCTTTGCCAATGACTGGTCTGGAAGTGGGCAGATGATACAATTCTGCCCAGTAACACATGAGGGGATGTCTGGTGGGTGATTCTGGGAAATCTTTTTCTTGCCTTCTGGCCTTTGGTTATTGTTGCATGAGAATATTAAGCTTGGACCTTCTTTAGCCATCTTTTGACCTTGACAGGACAAATATGAGTACAAAAGTCAACATCAGAAGATGGAAGAGTCAAAAGATGAAAAGACCTGCATTACTGATGAGCCACTAAATTAACCAGCCCCTAAACTGCCCCACCGTGGGACATCTTGTTATATGATATAATGTATTTCCTTATTGTGTAAGCCAGTTGAGTCCACTTTTCTGTTGCTTGCAGTCAAAACCTTCCTTACTGATTCACACACCTTTCTACTGTCTGCTTATTTCCTTCATATAATGTATGACACCAGTCAAAATTTCATATAATGTACCTTTTGGTTTACTTGTCATTTGTGTGCATACCACCATCTTTCACCCCAGAATGTAAACTCCCTGAGGGCAGGGTCCTTCTCTGTCTTGTTCATCACTGTATCCCCAATTTCCAGCGTGATGTCTGGGACATGATAGGTCTCCAGTATATGTATATAAAATGAAGGAAGAAAAAAAGATGTTGTTTGCTTTAGTTACTACACCCCCAATGTTGGCATTAATCAACCTTTGTTCGGATATTACTTAAAGATCACCCCTTCTTACAGCTGGTAGTTATGGAAAAGCACAGGCTATGGTATCAGACCTGCCTGTGATTTATCAGTTGCATGACTGCAAGCAAGTTACTTGATTTCTCTGAATCTCCGTTTCTTCATGTTCAAGATAGAGATATGAAAATAGGGTTAAAATAAGTTATGAATTTATGAAGCAACTGGCCCATAGTAGGTATTCCAAGTTATATTTGTTCTTACTGCCAACCTCTATGCCCACTGGGAAGGGGGCTCAATGGGAATATACTCTATGTAGCAACAAACTGGACCCACTCCTAAAGCTGATGTGCCATTGGAGCACTATCCCTAATCTTTGCCTCATCACAATGAAATTGTTCCCAAACACCTTCCTCAGCTTTCTTATCATTTATCATCCCCATCTCCAGAGCATCCTGTCTTATGTTTCCTGGCCACGACCTGCCTAACCAGTCACTCTCCCTTCAATGCCCTTTTCCATTCATTCATTCAACAAATACTTGTTGAGTGCCTACTGTGTACCAAGCATTATTATAGGTGCTGAGAATAGACTAATAAAGACAGTAGACTGAATTCCAGCTCTCATAGAGCTTGCAATCTAGTGGGCAGAGGAAAAAGCAGTGCTTGGTTAGGGCAAACTCACACCACCTGGAGAGTTCTGTTGTAAATATCTCTACGACATTTAATTGTGCCAAGCGGGGGCAGGGAAGGGGGCAGAGATGAAAGGAATGTAGGAAAATGAAGTTAAGGGAATCTAATCCTTCTGGAGTCCAGAAATGAGCCTGGTTTCATTCCAATTAAGTGGTCCATAACATCACTTATATAGTATCCCAGCTAGGAAAGCAAAACCTGAATCTAATCATGAGGAATAATCAGACAAACCCCAAATTAGAAACATTCTATTTTTAAAAAATGTCATAAAATGTAATAAAAGACAAAGGACGGCTGAGAAAATTTTCTGGATTGAAGGAGAGTAAAGAGATACGAGAACTAAATGCATTATTTGATCTTAGGCTGCATCCTGTATTGGGGAGGGGGGAGGAGAATTCTATAGAGTTCATTATTGGGTCAGTTGACTCAACTGAAATACAGAAAGTAGCTTAGTTCAAAGTATTGTTTTCAATGTAAAATTTACCCAAATTATGTAAGAAGATATTCTTTAAAAATCCACACTTTACTGTTTAGAGGCAAATTATTATGACGTATTCAACTTACTCCCAAATATTTCGGGGGTTAAAAAAAATAGATAGATAGACAGAAAGAGACAAAAGAAATTATAAAGCAAATGGAGTAAAATGTTAACAATGGGTGAATTTGAGTAAAAGGTACACATATGTTCTTTGTGCTATTCTTGCAACTTTACCAAATAAAACGTTTTTTCAAAATGTGTCCAGAGGACCCAGATTCTAAGCCGAGCCCCTGTGCTAACTCGGTGCATGATCCTGAATGAATCCCTTTCCCTCTCTGGGCTTCAGTTTTCTAGGCCTGTCGGCTTCTAAGATTCCTTCTGGTTCTGGCAATCAATATCCTCGACTCTGAAAACGTTTCCAACCGGGCTTCGAAAAGAAGACGGCGTCTCAGCTTCGCTCAAGGTCTCCCACCCACCAGTTGTTCTACCAAGGTACCTGCCCCATTTCTTTCCTCAGCCCTAGACTCGTCCCTGCCCTGCCCAGCCCGGCCACTAGCCGCTGACGCAACCCTTCTTCCCTAGGACTCTGGAGCTCGTCTTCTTCGGACTGACTCTATCTAGCATCGGTTCAGGATAGGCACGTGCCCTAGGAACTACAACCCCCAAACGGCTTTGCGGTAACCTTTCTGAGGTTACCGCCAACGAGAAAACGCTTTTCTTCGCAGGCCATCCGCTGCATGACCTTTTGGGAATTGTAGTCCGCCTCCGAAGAGGCGATGAACCAGGTCAAGGCTGCAAACTACCCTTCCCAGAACTCACAGCGCTGCTCCCCACCAATCGGAGGCACGGATATTGGAAGAAGGGCGGGGAAGAGCGGAGCTGCCGGGCGCATGCGCAGTGTGTGTGGCTGGGGAATTCATGTGGAGGTCAGAGTGGAAGCAGGTGAGAATGTTGGAAGGTGGCTCAGGCCCGTGTCTGGGTGTCTCTGCAGATTCTTCTTCCCTACCATACACTCTTTGGGCGAGCGGGGTACGTGCGTGGGTCCGCTTCGCAGGGGAAGGGAAAAAGGATGGGTCCGGGACGAGCCAGGGGTTGCACAGAGTGAGGGAGGTGTGTGTGGGGGCAGGGTGAGGAATAATCCAGAAGCTATTAGAAATGGAAAAGCTGAAGGGAAAGGACCAGAAGGCCTGGGCTGGAGAAAGGGAGATTTAAATGCACGGAAAGGGCTCAAATTAGTTTCAGGAGTTGAAGTCTAGAAAGGAATATTTGAGACCGAGGGGAACGAAGACGTTGGGGCGGGGCGTCAAAGAAGAAAACGAGAGAAAAAAACTTAAATGTTGGCGTGGGTTTTTAGTTAGGTCAACTGTGGTCCCGCCCACCCTACTTCAGCTTCACCCTCCACCACATTCACATCGCTTGTTAGCTGTGAAGCTACTTAGAACCTTTATGCCCAAATCGGTTTGTTTTTGTTATCTTGTTTCCAGAATGTCATCCAGCTCCTGCTTCCATAATAACGATATTCTCAATACATAATGTGGAGAAGCGGTATGGTGAGAGGTTAAGCCGTGCCTTCTAGAATTAGACCACCCTGCTGAAATCCTGGTTCCATCACTTAATAGCTGTGTGGTCTTAGGCTCCTCACCTAATGTCTCTATATGCCTCACTCCTCATCTGTAATCCTCTACTTCATAGAGTTGTGAGAAATCAATTCCCACAGAACACTGCCTGGTATAAATATTAGCGGTTATTTTTGTTGTTGGAGTCACCGTGTAGCACGTTCTTTGTGTTATTTTTCCGAAGTGGAGTTGATTTCACAGAACCAGACACATAACCTCTCACTCGAGGCCTACTTGTTCAGGAAATAGGAGGGTTGTTCAGCATGTTCTCCTTGATATCAGGTTCGTGCCTTGGTTTTATTAACTTCATGTTCCTGTTATTGAGCCAAGTGCCCCAGGCCCCTTTCTTTAAGTGGTTGCAACTGGAAAAAAAAAAAAAGCACAGAAATTGATACTGCATTTTCCCAAGCTGTGGAGTGTTATTTATTGAGTGTCCCTCAGTGGGGGATTTAAAGCTCTCAGGAGTGGGAAAATAAATGCTCAGCTTGAGAAGTGAATGTTGTGCCTCACAGAGGGCTTTCTCTGGGGACTTTGGGGTCACATTGTTTTATTTTGTTTTTACCTCTTTAGGTGTGAGTGGGCCGAAAGGCAAGATCCAGCAGAAGAAGACATGGCTGCCAAGGTGTTTGAGTCCATCGGCAAGTTCGGCTTGGCCTTAGCTGTTGCGGGAGGCGTGGTGAACTCTGCCTTGTATAATGGTGAGGCCCTAAGGGATGGTGGGTCGCTGCCTTTTGACAGAAGATTCCTGTTGACCTGTATAGCCGTGTGACACTTGGGATGGGAGCTGTGTTTGTGACAAGAGGGCTCACCTCCTGCCATCCCACACTGTGTATTGGCATTGTTATCAGAGCCTAGTGTGCTTTTGGCCAGAGGTTCTTCCGAGAGCCTTGATTCAAAAAGAGCTGCCCAGCCCCGTTGCTGGCTGGATGTCTCCTGCTCTTGTTAATTTGAAGTGATGAGGCCCACTCCCTATACTTCAACAGAGTGTCAGGATTTCACTGGCTAGCTGAAATGTAGATAACTTGGCACGGATTTACACCTTTTTGAGTTACCTTGTCCTGAACAGGAGGTTTTGCTCTGCTGAAGTTGGGTAGTTCCAGAGGAAATATCTTTGGGATGCATTGCCCAGCTTTTAACAGTGTAACGTGAGCCCTCTTGTCACAAAAGAGGTTTAAGCTGGCTTTTCTTCTCCTTTATGGTGTGACCTTAGGCAGGTCACTTCACCTCTCTAGCTCTCGACATCTTCAGTGGTCAAGCAATGGGAATGAAGTATTTTGTCTCTAAGACCCTTTCCAACTCAGACATTCTATAACTTTCACCACTGGAAAGCAGCAGTAGGTTGACCTGCCTTGTGTATGGCTGTATGATAAGAGGAGGATTACTTTCAGAGTCGGGATACGTGGAACTAACTGTAGAGTCCAGAGGGAGGAGCAGGAAGCAGCTGATCAGAAAAGCTTGCTTGGTTTACATGGCACATCTTTATACTATGATCCTTTTGGCCACATCTGCACAACCAGGCAGTAATCACCATCACTGAATTTCTCTCGAAATCAGCACATTAGCTCTATAACCCCTTTGACCCTTAGAGAAACTGAGGTATTAGAAGGGGTGGGACCTTCTAAATTTTAGGATTCCCCTAGTGAGGTGGCTGCTTCTGGGACACTGGGTTAAATTGGAGCCAGGATTGAGCATGGTAACAGTAAAGACCTCGGTGAGTTTTTGGAAGTAGGTTGGGAGGTGATTTCTGAAAATATGTTGGTGGTGATTTGGGGAGGGGATGGTTCATCAGAAAAATCAGCAACCAGTTCTTTCAAGCAGAAAGGACTCTGAGGAGCAGATCCTCTTCCCAAAGTCCATGGGGAGACACGGGGGACAGGAAGTGATCACTTAGTTTTGTAGCTGTTGGAGGCCAGAAGTGCAGGAAGACAGAGCAGGGGAGGGAAGACTTAATAAATGAACAGAAAACACCAGGGATCTTTCAAAGACATGATCCCCTTGGTTAACGGGTAAGGACCTTTTCTGACCTGTCATTATCCTTCTTCCTAGTGGATGCAGGGCACAGAGCTGTCATCTTTGACCGGTTCCGTGGAGTCCAGGACATTGTGGTAGGGGAAGGGACTCACTTTCTCATCCCTTGGGTACAGAAACCAATTATCTTTGACTGCCGCTCTCGACCACGTAACGTGCCAGTAATCACTGGTAGCAAAGGTGAGTCTTGTCTTACCTGTGGGTCAGGTGAAGTAGGGAGTGTGGCAGGGGTGCTGTGCTCGTCCACCAGGTCCAGAAGCATCTGTGGGGCACCGGGATCTAGAAGAGGAGGTCAGACTTCACATAATACGAATCCCTAGCATATTTGCCCTGGAGTGTTTCCTGTGGATTCATAGAAAGAAATGATATATACTTAAGGTACGCACACAGATAACTGTACAAATTTAGAGAATACACATAGGTACATCTTAAGAGCTCTAGGCAGTGATCTGACTTTAAAGGAATCTAAGTGTGTGTTTTGCCCCCTCAGTCGACCTTTCTCATCAGTTCTTGTTCCCCAGAATGACTGCCTAAACCAATCTCTAGCTGTTCTGTTTGTGTTTGTAGCTTACTTTACCCTTGGCCTTGTTTCCCAAGGCCTCTGTTTCCAGCAGTGCTGACCTCACGTTATCTCCCAGGCTGAGGCCACATCCCTGAGAGCAGTCTCCTGGTGTCCGTGACACTCCACTGGATTTCCATTCTAAGCTGAAAATGAATTGCTCTTACTGTTCCCCCTCACCCTGCACAGAGAGGTGCACGCAGTAAAGGGACTAGCAGGTCTGGTTCAGCAGCGGCATTTCTGCACATAAAGAGGAGAGGATGGCGTGGACGTTGGTTTCTTACTTGATTATACTCGAGGACTTTGGCGCTGTTCCTCAGCAGATGTTGGCTTACTGTGGGGTGCCAGGCTTTGTGCTGACTTGGAGCATTGGGAGTAGTTCATAGATGACTGGGGAGCTCAGTCTAGCTGGGGAGAGGGGCGTGTGAGCAAGCAATTACAGTAGAGTGATGCATACTGGGGTCAAGGTCGTACGGAGTGTAGTGGGAGCACAGAAGAGAGAGCAACTAACTCCCAAAGGTGGCTGAGAAAGGCTCCTGTGAGGAACTGACGTTTGCGCTGGGTCTTAAAGAGTGAGAAGTATGTCAGGTGAAGAAGAGGAGGGAGGGTTAGTTATGTTTCCCAATCTGTTCTATAGCTCCTGGCCAGGGTGACGAAGAAGCCTCCTGCTAAGGGTCTGGCTTGCCTACTCCAAAAGAAGAGATGAAAGGCAGGGTGGGACTATTTGAGAAATACACAATTTTAACTTAAAAACTTCGCTGTAACTTCCCACCTCTTTCGGGTTTCTTTCTGTACTGTTCTGTGATTGTTCTAAGGGTACATTGTGTGTCCATTTCCAGAACTATTGATAGGACCTTCCGGAAATCAGGGGCCTGTATGTACTGATGTGCTTTCCCCACCTCTCCTGGTGCCTGGCTTAGGACTCTGTCTCATGGCATGAGCCATATTGTTTATGACTGCAAGCAAGCTGTGCTCGTACTTTAGCTCTGAGCAGGCCTGAATTGTCAGGTGAAAGGTATAATTTCCCTCCAGGGTCCTGTGACTAGGCCCCGTAATGAGAAGCGGTCTGTAGATGAGTCTGAGAACCTCTACATCTGTTCTGCAGTTGACAGAGTGCTTCTATAGCTGTTCTCTCCTTCATTTTCCCGCAACATTCCTGCAAGGCCTGGAAAGCAGATGGAACCATCCCCGTTCTCCAGTTAAGGAAATGAGCCCAGATTGGTTTAGCAAGGCCACATAATTCGTAAATTAGTAATCAGTAAACAGCAGGGTGAGACAGCTAGGTCTTTGGACTGCTGGTGCAGTGCTGCTTCCACTGGTCCCATGCTGACCTCTCCAAGGCATACTCCTGATTTGGGCCACCCTCAGGCTCTGGAATTCTCACCCTAGGATTCTTGGCATTGGCCTGTTTTCTTAAGATGTTCAGTGTTCCAAACACCTCGTGGCACCTATTAGACAATCGTGATTGCATATATCAGAGGGCGTTTGGGACCTACTGAGAAAGCTGTCGTCACCAGAAACCTTTAAGAAGTTCCTGTGTGATGCTCTGCTGAGTTCTCTACCAAGGAAACCACACGTACCTGCTCCTTGCTCTCTAGGGTCTTATAATCAGCAAATTTACCTATAAATACTGATAAAGGCAAATTTGGAGCAGAAGAGGTCATATGAAAGGCCACTTGTTTCCCCACTGTGGATTTTAACTCCAGCGCTTGTCCCTTCCCCTAAGATTTACAGAATGTCAACATCACACTGCGCATCCTCTTCCGGCCGGTTGCTAGCCAGCTGCCACGCATCTTCACCAGCATCGGAGAGGACTATGATGAGCGTGTGCTGCCGTCCATCACGACAGAGATCCTCAAGTCAGTGGTGGTGAGTGCACAGGGGCCCTTCCACCCGCAGCCTGCTGGGCAGCCCCAAGATGTTGCTAGGAGGCAGGAAGGACTTGGTAGTGGTTGGCTGGGATGTGGCTGTGTAGGTCCATGGTGGTTTTCCGCCTCCTCATTATCCTGTCCTGCTCCTCTGCCCTCCCTTTGGTACCAGGCTCGCTTTGATGCTGGAGAGCTAATCACCCAGAGAGAGCTGGTCTCCAGACAGGTGAGCGATGACCTCACGGAGCGAGCGGCCACCTTTGGCCTCATCCTGGATGACGTGTCCTTGGTAAGATCTGCAGCGAGGCCGCGGGGAAGGGCGTGCAGTTCTTGTTGAGGTGTCTGGCTCCATTTCTGGGTAGGCGATGTGAAGTCCTGCCTTCTGCCTTCCTGATGTGAGACTTGGAAACATGAGGCAGTCTCCTTGGGTTCGTTTTCAGGTTAGGGTTCTATTACCTCTGCTCCAGCACACACATTTTTCTTATGACCTCTGGCCCTACCCAGATGGTCCCAAACTGCTAAATCACTCACCTTCTCAACAATACGAGTGTTCCCCAGAGTGCCCCAGCAAGGGATGTCTCGTTAACCCTGTTTGACACAGGAAGAAGGTGCCTGGCACCATCTAGAGAACAGCTCAGACGGTCTTTTTTTCCCCTAGCTCGACCTCCCTGCCTGACCCCTGGGAATTTTCTAACACTCTGGTCCAAAGCTCGGTGAAGTGAGTTCTGGGAACCCCCAGTGAAAGGTGATAGAGTGTAAATGAGTGGCTCTGTTCCCCCAAAGCCGGGTATGTGGGGCAAGGGACATCTCTGAGGTGTAAGCTGTCCTCTTAGGACATTATAGTCTGTGTGTTTTTATGACATTGAATGTCATAACTCAGACAGAAAGCCATACAGGCAGGATAGCTTTTCAGATTGAGGAGGGTGAGGGGAAAGGGTCGTGTTTCTAGATTTCTCTGGGAAAAACCAATTGGAGTGATTTGTTTGGGCAGGGAGGTAGAGTATTCCTGTTCAAGTCTCCTGTGCATCGCTAGGGAAAGGCACCATTTCCCCCTCAGCATCTGTGCAGCTGTTTAAACAGCCACACTCCACAACACCCAGTCCTGACCCACAGGGCACTGCTTCACCTTCCAGCAATTGCTGAAAGTGGAAGGACTTGTGGGCTCCCTCTACTGGCGAGTTTCCAGGCTGCAGCCATTTAGCTCTGAAAAGAGCAGTTCCTCAGGCTTTTCCCCAGTTACTGTTAATGTGAACACCTTGGCTGTGAGACAATGCTAAGTAAAACCTAAGAAAAAGCTTGGCACTTTGCTAGACTATAACCACGTACTCCATTCTGGGGAAATGTTGGCTGACCACAAGAAACCATGTCCAAGAGGTGTGAGAAGAAAAGTAGATTTCATGGGGAATTTGCTGCCCTCAGCTGGCCCTTTTGGAAGTAAATTTTACTCTTTAATTACACATTTCATTTTTCATTTCTCAGGATTGCATGTTCTTCTCCAAACTTTGAGCCAGAGTCCAGAAATGGAGCAGGCAGAGTAGAGCAGCTGCAGTTTACGAGGGGTGTTAAAAATCCTGGAAGAAAGTGGGACCAGCATTTAGTCTTCAGGAGAGGTTTTGGGCCGCTTATATGTAAAAAAGCAGGGCTTGGGAGGATAGAGGAGGAAAGGAAACAAACAGGAACTTGATAGAAAAACCGATACTTTTCTTCCCTTTATTTTTTTCCTTTTTAATGAAAAGTGGGTTGAGTAAGTAAATCACTCTAGACTAGGCATTAGGAATTCTGAGATCATTTCCCATTGCTTGCACTATTAGGGACAGTCACTTCAGCCAAGTGTCAGTTATTCATGGTATTAGGAAAAAGAAATGTATGGGTAATCAGAATTTTAAATCCTCACCCTGAGCAATGCCTTAACTGCCTTCTAGTTCTTTTAAATCCTTTACCAGAGCCACTCGCATATAGAGAATAGCAGGATTTGAGTACCACTGTCTCCCTCTTCCTCTCCCTGTTCTGTGGTGGAGGTGCTGAGAGAAAGGAGTGGACTGGTTAATCCATGAGCAGAGAGCATCAGGCTCTGGAATCTCTGAGAACCAGCTGCATCCCCCACTCTCAGGGGCTCTGTTTTCCATCTGGCCTCCTTTGGGGCTTTTTGAACAGGGAATCAAAGGACCTTGGAAGAGCACTAGTCAATGGCGGGGGTCCTAGAGCCTCCGGGTGTGCTCCCCAGGGAGGGGGTCTACTGAGTAGGACGTTCTGGTGCCTATGGGCCCGAGCGAGAGCCCCCGGTGCCATTTTCTACCTGAGACGGCCACACCGAGGTGACAGAATGATGGACAGGAGCAGTTTGGCAGCCAAGGATTCTGGGGTATGAACTCACTTTGGACAGGGATGTGGAAGTGGAAGGGTGTTCTGGCCCTGTGGGTGCCTCCAGCTGCTAGAGCCATCCCTGGCCTCTTCTTTCCAGTGGCCGTGGGGGCCTCACGGCAGTGCTGTGTAAGCAATTACACCGCCTCATCTTGTGTTCACTCTCTCCCCTTAGACGCATCTGACCTTTGGAAAGGAGTTCACAGAAGCAGTAGAAGCCAAGCAGGTGGCTCAGCAGGAAGCAGAGAGGGCCAGATTTGTGGTGGAAAAGGTGAGTGTTCCACCAGATGGCAGGAGCCTTTCTTTTCCCTTTCTCCTCTGCTCAGCTTCCCTGTTTGCTGGGTGGCCTGGAAATTCATCATCTGTCATCTCTTCCTTCGAGGTAATCGGAAGGGGATTTGAAGGTACCGTGCTCCTACAATCAGTTCCAGAGTCTTGGGGGGCTAGTCAGGGATATGTGAAGTTACGCTCCTAAACCAGTGAGGGTCATTTTTTTCCCGCTTCCCTAAGATCAGAAACACTCTCCTACAAATCATAGTGTTTCACCTGGAATATTTTCAGCTTCACTGGGAAGTCATTTTTAACCAGGTTACACAGTGAAAGCTCACAGTTAAAAAGGATCAAACAGTGCACCAGATGTGCTGTCGTCGCTAGATTTTTTTTCAAGCCCTAAATCCATCCAGATGTGTCAAATAATGTAATGGGGCACAAATCTGTTTGCATAGCAGCCTGGTCTTCCTGGTCTTTGCAAAGGTGTATTTATTTCTTGCTGCCCCCTCTCCCCACCATCACTTGAATTATTCCTAATCCAAGACCCCTTAGTCCTTAGAACAGGGGAAAAGAGGGATATATGGATGGCTGACATTTAGAGACTGAATGCCATGTGGGCAAGGACTCTTTTTGCTTTGTATCTGCCACGTCTCCAGAGCCTAGAAGGAGTCTAGAGCTTTGCCTGATCATACTAGTTGCTCAGGAAATACTTAATTGAGTGAACAAACACAGAGCCTAGCAGTTTTGAATTGTGTTAATCTCCGAGAGGCTTGATACTGTACTTTCCTCCCATGCTTCCAAAGACGATGGGTAGCAGATAGATGTCATCCTGTTGATAACAAGAGGGAAGGCCTAGGAGATCACATTCTGGGTGGCTGGGTTCCTGGTCAGGAACTGCTCAGAGGAAGCACCTGTGAGAGTCACAAATGCAAACTGTTCTTCTTAGCTATGCTGGTTTTCATGAAAGTCAGTCTGACTTGGCACCAGAGGGAAAGATGAGCCTGAGGATTGATTCCACCTCTCTTTTCCCTTGGCCTTGGATCCTCCAAGCTCAGAGAAAGGTGACTGAATGAGGTTGCTATTAATGTTAATGAGAACTTTGAAATAAGACAGATATTTATGTGGCCAGCAGATAATGTATCCCTATAATTATCCAAAGTGGGCATTAAAGGAAAGAGGAGGATTGCATGGAAAATGTACTTGTTGACCCCATCAGGAGGAGAGGGAGATGGAGACAGCTAAATTCCCCGAGGTTCTACAGGAGCCAGTGAAAGTGCCCCACCAGTCCTTCCTTGGCCCTGGTGGCCTGACATCCAGTGCCCTGAGGTTTGATCACTTCCACTTTTAGGCTGAGCAGCAGAAGAAGGCAGCCATCATCTCCGCTGAGGGCGACTCCAAGGCAGCTGAGCTGATCGCCAACTCGCTGGCCACCGCGGGGGATGGCCTGATTGAGCTGCGCAAGCTGGAAGCTGCAGAGGACATTGCATATCAGCTCTCTCGCTCTCGGAACATCACCTACCTGCCACATGGGCAGTCAGTGCTCCTCCAGCTGCCCCAGTGAGGCAGCCCTGACCGCGCCTCCTCGGGTAGACTCAGCCACAGCCCTGTTGATTCTTAACACAGCCTTCCTTCTGCTCCCACCCCAGAAATCACTGTGAAATTTCATGACTGGCTTAAATAGTGAAGGAAATAAAATCACTTCAGATCTCTAATTACTCTACCAAATAAAGCTCTTCTTTCCGTACCCATTCACTTTTCTATCCCTCCTCCTTAACCCCACTACCAAAAAGTGCCAAGTGCCTATGCAGTGGCTTTGGGCCCCCTGCTTGGGGCCTGCAGGCGCTTCAGCCTAGGTACTGGTGATTGGCAGAAGAAAGGCAAAGCAGCGTATGTGATTCACAGGGGGGCGTAGTTGTTGGTTTGAGTAAACTTGTAGCCTGAAACTCATTTAGAGACGATTTGAGGAAGGTGGCACACACAGCTGAGCTGAGAAGGCAAGTCTCCGTGTTCAGTGGTTGCTGCACAGAGCAGCTGAAGAGGTCCCAGGGAGGGTCAGAGAGGAAGTAGCTTGTCTCTTACCATAAGGCTGATTGTCTTTAACTGTGGGGCCAGCGGAAGCAGGTGTGTGCAAACCGGGCATGAATTGAAGAATCTGCCCCTGTTGAGGTGGGTGGGCCTGATTGTGCTGCCCCCTGGGGTCCTAAAACTGGGATGGACTTGGATAGGTGAGAGAGGAGGCCTGGACTGAGATGTGAGAACTGTGGAAGCCTCCTACTGCACCTCCCACCGTGGTCCCCCTCAAATACTCAATGGAATTCCAGCTTGAAGGATTGCATCCTGCTGGGGCTGATTTCCTGGCTCCCTCATTCCAGCCTGCCCTTCTAGAGGGCTCTGTGCCTGCACTCTGAAGGCAACAGCCATGGGAAAAAAAAAATGTGTGTAAACTGTCAATAAATGACACCCAGACCTAGCGCAGCCTTATGTGTCTTTGTGGGAGCTTCAGGACCAGAACAGAGCGTTCTTGGAGTTTTTGTGTGCACATGTTTGTATCGCCAGCTGGGACAGAGTCTCCAGCAAGGCAGAAAATGCCTTGGTTTTGGAAAATGCTTTGTGCTGTCTTCCAGATCCATCCGAAGCCTGAAATGAATCTCAGCGGTACGGGGTGAGGTTTGTCAGGAGATGGGTTCTTAGACAAGAGGAGACGAGTGGGTGGAGGTTGGTTAACTTTGCATGTGGCTTTTGGTACCACTATCCCTAACTGGGAATTAGAGGCCTGCCCACCAATGTCAGCAACACTTTTCCCCCATGCAGTTGACAGAAAGTGCACGTGTCAGATGGCCCTCAACATGCTCTCATTTGACTTTGACATAAGTTAGATGGCTTGGGTGCTCTGCAGTGGGTTTATGCTGCCTACTGTTTGATGTGGAAATGACTTGGCATTTGGGGCAGGGGAGCAAGTGTGTGCAGTTTGGATAGTGGGGAGCTTAAACAGGCCTGGGACTGCGACATGCACTGTGCCAGTCACCCACCTCAAGTCTTTTTAAGAAAACTGGAAACAACATGCACGGAGCACTCTGAGCATTGACTGGGCTCTAACCTCTGCTCTCACTAATCCCTGCACCCACCACCTGGCTGCTGAGGGGTCTTTAAGAGGTCTGCAGGCTGGTCTCCGACCTGATTCTGCATTTCCTGTCCCAGAATGATAGGGCCAGCTGTCAGCTGGGGAAGAGGGGGACCTGATGCGTGGATTTGGGGTGGACCTGGGGGTTGAGTTATCTCAGTTCCTACATCCTGCACCTCTCCCAGGGCCTCTCGACACAGATCTAGTTCCTTCCCATCCAGCCTCCTTTCCATAAGCAGACTGTGTGACAGGCCCCTGACCCTCGGCTGAACCGCAAAGCTCCCAGCAAGAGCCTCATTCTGATCCTCCCCTGTGCCGCCATCTACCCACCTCCCTGCCACCTCCCCCAGTATCATTTATCTCAGGCCCCAGAATTCCTCTTCCCACTCATGGTGTTTTGCTGGAAGAACACGAGGCCTGCAAATGATGAGGTGCCTGGACTCAAAGCACGCTAAAGACTGAAGCAGAAAGAGCATAATTCCTAAATAAGTTCCAGATCGGCATCCATGCTGTGGCCCTTTCCTGCCATTTATTGCTTTGGACACCCTTTGGGTGGCCGGGACAGGAGGCTCCTGTTTCTTCCCCAGGCCCTTTTTAAAAGACCAGTGGCGTTTCCTGTATTTGGCTGGCGATTGGGTTTCGTGCTGCAGGTGTCAGTAGGGGAGCCCTGAGCTGAAAAGCTCCACTCCCAGCTTCTGGGTTCCTTCTGCCTTCAGGTCGGCCCTTTCAGCGACAGGTCGGTTTCCTGCTGTTTCTGCCATTAGCCTCCCTGCCACAGATGACGGGCACACCGCAATGGCAGCCCAGGGGCCTCCTCCTGCTCTGCGTTGACTTCTGCCCAGTAATTCTTTTCGCAAATGTTCAGGGCCTGTTAACTGGCTGCTTAGCCCAGGAGTCCCTTGATGGCCTCTGGGTTGCTCCAGAAGCCGCCACACTGGGCCTTTATCAGCCCAGGATTCTCAGGGCCTTGGATCAAAAGCCATGTCCTGTTCAGGAAAGGGACAGAGCAGGAAGTGTCTTCCTCTGTCTCTCCTGTGCTCAGGCTGAACAGTCCCTTTGTTCAAGCTTCCGGGGATGGCTTACTAAGAATGCAATGGACCCTGGACAGGCAGACGAGAGGAAAAACCCTCACAGGGTTGCCATTTCCTTTACTTTTGTTAGTTTTAAGCAAATTCTGCCAGTGTGAACTGATGGGGATGAGCAGTCTGTGATCATCCCCAGGCGGGTTTATTTGAAAGATAGGGAAAGACAATGGAATCCTCATTTAGCAAATGCTATTCTGACAGGTATTCTCTGCTTTCAACCAAGATCCATCTGACATCAGCAATGATATCCCTCGTTCCATGTCCTCTTCTGAATCCAGCTTGAATTTCTGGCAGTTCCCTGTCGATGTACTGCAGCAATCACTTTTGAACTATCTTCATCAAAATTTTATTTGCATGTGATATTAATGATATCGTTCGATAATTTCTGCATTCTGTTGGATCACCTTTCTTTGGAATGGGAACAAATACGGATCTCTTCCGGTCGGTTGGCAAGGTAGCTGTCTTCCAAATTTCTTGGCATAGTTGAATGAGCACCTCCGGCACTGCATCCATTTGTGGAAACGTCTCGGTATTCCATTAATTCCTGGAGCCTTGTTTTTTTGCCAATACTTTCAATGCAGCTTGGACTTCTTTCTTCAATACCATCAGTTCTTGATCATATGCTGCTTCCTAAAATGGTTGAACGTTGACCAATTAATTTTGGTACAGTGACTCTGTGTATATTCCTCCCATCTGCTTTTGATGCTTCCTGTGATGTTCCAAGATTTTACCCACAGAATCCTTCAAGACTGCAACTTGAAGCTTGATTTTTTTCTTTAGTTCTTTCAACTTGAGAATTGCCAAGCGTATTCTTCCCTTTTGGTTTTCTAACTCCAGGTCTTTACACATTTCATCATAATACTTTGTCTTCTCAAGCTGTCCTTTGAAATCTTCTGTTCAGCTCTTTTACTTCATCATTTCTTCCATTCACTTTAGCTGCTCTATGTTCAAGAGCAAGTTTCACAGTCTCTTCTGATGTCCATTTTGGTCTTTTATTTCTTTCCTGTCTTTTTAATGACCTTTTGCTTTCTTCATGTATGATGTCCTTGATGTCTTTCCATAGCTCATCGTCTTAGGTCATTAGTGTTGAATGTGTCAAATCTCTTCTTGAGGTGGTCTCTAAATTCAGGTGGGATATACTCAAGCTCCTACTTTGGCTCTCGTGGACTTGTTTTAATTTTCTCCAGCTTCAATTTGAACTTGCATATGAGCAACTGATGCTCTGTTCTGCAGTCGGCCCCTGCCCTTGTTCTGACTGATGATACTGAGTTTTCCATCGTCTCTTTCCACAGATGTAGTCAGTTTGATTCCTCTGTTTTCCATCCAGTGAGGTCCATGTGTATAGTTGCCATTTATGTTGTTGAAAAAAGGTATTTGCAAAATTCTATCATGCGATCTCCGGCGTCATTTCTATCACCAAGGCCATATTTTCCAACCACTGATCCTTCGTCTTTGTTTCCAACTTTTGCATTCCAATCACCAGTAATTATCAATGTATCTTGATTGCATGTTTGATGAATTTCAGACTGCCGAAGTTGGTAAAAATCTTCAATTTCTTCATCTTTGGCATTAGTGGTTGGTGCATAAATTTGAATAATACTTGTATTAACTGGTCTTCCTTGTAGGCATATGGATATTATCCTATCACTGACAGCATTGTACTTCAGGATAGATCTTGAAATGTTCTTTTTGATGATGAATGCAACTCCATTTATCTTCAATTTGTCATTGCTGGCATAGTAGACCATGTGATTATCTGAACGAAAATGGCCAATACCAGTCCATTTCAGCTCACTAATGCCTAGAATATCGATCTTTATGTGTTCCATTTCATTTCTGATGACTTCAAATTTTCCTAGATTCATACTTTGTACATTCCACGTTCTGATAGTTAATGGATGTTTGCAGCTGTTTCCTCTCATTCTGAGTCGTGCACACATCAGCAAATGAAGGTCCTGAAAGCTTGACTCCATCCACATCACTAAGGTCCACTCTACTTTAAGGAGGCAGCTCTTCCCCAGTCGTATTTTGAGTGCCTTCCAACCTGAGGCGCTCATCTTCTGGCACTATATCAGACAATGTTCCACTGCTATTCCTAAGGTTTTCACTAGCCAATTTTTTCAAAAGTAGACCGCCAGGTCCTTCTTCCTAGTCTGTCTTAGTCTGGAAGCACCACTGAAACCTGTCCACCATGGGTGACTCTGCTGGTATTTGAAATACCAGTGGCATAGCTCCCAATGTCACAACACACAAGCCACCACAGTATGACAAACTGACAAATGAGTGTTTTGTTTTGTCGTACATAGTGTCGCTATGAGTCAGAACCTATTTGACAGCACCTAACAACAACAGCATTCTAATAAGTGGTCCCTGGGTGGTGCAAATGGTTTGCACTCAGCTACTAGCCAAAAGGTTGGTGGTTCAAATCCACCCAGCAGCACTGAGGAAAAAAACCCTGGTGATCAACTTATATGAGATTACAGTCACTAAAAACTCTATGAAGAAGTTCCATTCTGACACACAAGGTGTTGCCAGGAGTCAGACTCAATGGCAATGGGTTGTTTTTTATTTTTATTTTTTGGTTATCTAACAGGACATTCAGGAGCCCTGGTGGCGCAACAGTTAAGCACTCGGCTGTTAACCAAAAGGTTGGAGGTTTAAACCTACCTGGCTGCTCCATGGGAGAAAGATCTGGCAATCTGCTTCCGTAAATATTATAGCCAAGAAAACCCTATGAGACAGTTCTACTCTGTCACATGGGGTTGCTATGAGTCAGAATCGACTTGATGACACCCAGCAGCAACAACAATAGAGATTCCAGCGGTTAGCAGTTAGAATGTGCAGTTAGGAACGTCCCTTGACCTTTGCCATATGCCAATAATTGTGGGCAATACAGTCCACCCTGACTGAAAATAACCTGGGTGAGGAAGGCACGGGAGGCTGTACTGATTTCCTTGCCTTTCCTCAGCCTCCCTTCATCCTGCACACGGCTGCACACTTCATTGCCCCAAAGCAGGTCTCATCCACTCCTTGCTGAAAGCCTTCAGGGGTCA